CAAATGCTTCATAGATGAGCCGATTGTGATTCCAAATATTGTAGTCGTATTTAATAGATATCAGGAAACGAAATACCATGATGCAAATATGATGTAAATATGAGAAACAAAAATCTGATTCTTAGCGTCTCATATTTACATCATATTTGCATCATGATATTTCGTTTACTAAATGTTGCTGCAATATTTCGAATCACTATCGGCTCATCTATGAAGCATTGGATGATTCTAAGATAAACGTGAAGTTGCTGTAAAGTATATGTACATTTGTCTACTGGGAATATTTTAACGAAAAAAAAATTTAATTATAATTTAATTTGTGTTTTTATTTTCAGAATATATATTTATTAATTATTTTTATGTATATGCAAATTCTTATAATTAACGCAATTATAAATATTCTTGAAAACGCGTAGAGAGTAGTATCGACGGGATTTGAACCTAAGATCTTTAGGGTGGTAGCCTACCTACGCTAACGTTGAGCTAATCGCACGATTGTCTGAACACTTTTAAATTTGGCACATATTGAATTTTATTTTGACATTCGTACCGATCATATATGTATGTAATAAGCATGTATGTATATATAGGGTGTCTGATAACTCCTGACAACACGCGTAAGCAGGTAGAGCGGACTAAACTGATTGTGAGACGAAAAGTCCTCTACTATTTTACAATTTTCGCAATAGTTAACAAGATATTAATTATTAAAAATCACCGAATGTTGGTTTTCAATAATTTTTTACTCAAGTACTATTAACTTTACGAAAAAATAGCAAGAGAAAAATTGTTAATTTTCTTTTTATAGAATTGTGAGAATTTTTTTAGATTTTTTTCAGAATATTTTAGTACCGTATTTTCTGATGTTGGTAAAAATTATAGTTATCTCTCTTACTTCATGCGGCGTAAAATAAGGAAAAATTTACAAATCATTTATGCTTACTATGATATCACATCAGGATTACAAATTCTTTTAATAAGATTCAGTGCATCAAGATCAACATCTGTTTATCCAAATTTTACAGTATATTTATTGTACTTTATGCGGCATAAAATAAAGAAAAATTTAAACTTTATTTAAGCTTTCTATAGCATCACATGATAATTGTAAATGTGCATCATTATATGATGTATTTCATTTAATTATGTATGATGTAAATATTTCATATAATAATATCAAAAAAAGAATATTATAAATCTGAAGATATATTTTCATACATATGTTTTTGTAATTCTATAACAAAAAATTTAATCATTCAAATAACCTAAATTTTATATTTACTTTAATATAAACGTTTTTGCTTTTATAATGTCATAAAATTGTTCTAAATTTTCAGTAAATTAATTTGTGCATATTGTGATCATCATACAAGTCTATCTGAGTATCTATAATACTATCTATAATAATGAGAGGTTCACCAACTTATTTGGGTCAAACATAATAAATTTAAGTGACCATTCTCTTTGTAATCGGACCGTAAATAATTTTTCTCGCTATAACTTCACGACTTTTATAAAACCATAAAATATTCCGATTTGCATCCTCGTAAGAAGGATATGCCATAATTTCGCGACGAAGAAACTGCGACGGTAATTCCACACCGTTAAAGGACTTATAGGTCATTTAAAGAGCTCTCGGAGGCCAAAAGGATGAACCACGAACACAGAATGAAAGATATCTCGAGATGCTTTTTTTATTAAAATGGGCACATCTGGCGATGAAAGGTCGGTCAGCTGAACACGCATTTTTTCCTCGCCACATTCAACTCTGCGAGGCCGACCGATCGACGAAAACGGTTACGTCCCTTTGTACGTCGGCTGCGACACTAAAATGGAGCTTTGCGGGGTGACTATGGTCGCCCAACCACGATAGATAAATTTCCTTATGAAAATTCGGTCGAGAGAGGAACGTCTCACCACTCACAATTTATTGGGTCTTCCGCGGATCGCTGACTATGCTAGCACATTCATCCTATGTTCCGGTCATCCCTCGTCGTTCTCGACGCTGTAAAAGGAGCTCGAAGATAATAGCCTTGAAGTGTTCTACCTTCGAGACGATTAAAAAGTACAAAACTTTATCTTATTAAAGATATTTTGGAGTTTGTTTATTGGGGAATATATAATATTAAAAGTAATATTATTTTCTTCATAATAATTGTCATTTTTTTACTTTTTCTTAAGGATGTCAATCAAACAATTAGCCAAAACAAGCTGATATCAACCAATATCAAAGAATGTTGACTCATACCCAGATAACATTTATGTTGTATAAGATAACTAAAAGGTGTCTTTTAGATGTCTTATGTCTAAAAGATGTCTAAAAAACGTCTTTTAGAAATCTTATGCAACATGCGTGTTATCTGGGATAGATATGCTCTGAAACAACTGCAAAAAAACAAAAAATGTATGACTGTATTTTCTTACAGTTTTAGGTCAATAACTTTAAGCGAATAAGTGGATCCAAATAAACTTTTGCACAAATATTTATTATTGTTTGGTCAGTATATGTTTAAAATTTGGTTCAAATCTTAATGTTACTTCCTCATCAAATTTGTAAATAAGTATTACGAAACTCAATTTTATATAAGAATGAAGACTGACAAAAAAATTAAATACCGTTTATTAAACCAATAAGAAAATTGTGTTCAAATTTTACATACATATTCAGACGTAATATTGAACGGATTTTATACAGATTTTTAGACGTAATAATGAACAATCTATGAAAATTTTATATTTTTGGTAAAGTTTTAAGATGTATGCATCCCCAAAGGGAGATTATTTAATACCTACGCAACGCGGTTGAAAAGACGAACGTTATCGAGGAATGTCAACGGTAGTCGTCGCCGCGCTACGCTCACGGGAAGAGAATCGTCAAAGTAATGAGAGGAGGGGGCCAAGGTAGGGTAGTTAAATGTTACCGGTGTCAGGACATGGCCTTTGTGTTAGGGGAGTGCTTGGGCTCCGTGGAGTTAGCTAGACTGGCAGAGTACTATAAATTACATAAATGAAGTAAGCCCCTTCCGCGCTCAAACGGACGTCTTGCCAAGTTTATAACTTAATCACTCGTGCTATGCTCGTAGCAAGAGGAGGAGCTTAGGTGGATGAGAGGATACGAGACGGAACGAAACGGTTGAGATGAGAGTGGGTATGCCGTAGACGGATAGCGTAGAAGATGTAAGAGAGAAAGAATCCGGCAGAGAACAAGCCGAACGATTAATGGTGTCAGCGTTGAATAATTGAATGTGTCACGCACATATTGTCTCAACGTTGGCAAGTTTTCTTCCCGAAGTAACGACTTCGGCCTGATCGTTTTATTTCGCAATTAAGCGTACGATATCTATCGTGAACATTATTTCCTCGATCGATCGTACATTCTAATTAAATTCTGACCTTAAATAAATTTGAATATTCTAATTTTCTGGATAATCTTTGTCATTTTATTGTAAAGAATATGCACAATATGTCTGTTAGTTTGATATCCTCAAAAATTATTGCACTTAAAACGAGATAAATATATATTCAGACGATAAGCATACGTTTTGAAAAAAGAGATAAAGCGAAGATCTTGAATGCAAAAAGTACGAATAACGCGAACAAACTTATTGGTCCTTTTTCTTCAACTCTCCCGTTTTCATCTGCTAAGCTTACTATTTCCTACAGCGAATTCGATCAATTGCATTAAAACATACTAAGTATGCAGTATGTATTAAAAGCTGCTATAAAATTAGCAAAATTAAATGTGAACACATCTAAACATTTTAAACGAATATTCACTAATGTCACATTTAACAGAATATGTGTTATATTATTTCATTGTTAAAATTGATTATATTGTGCCACTGCATTTAGATACTTTATTATAAAGCAGTCTTTAACATGTACTAATTCAGTGCCATGTACGAATGATGGAATTCACCATTGCTTCTTATAATATTAGACTCACAACTTTTTTTTTGAACGTATAAATCATGATATATTATTAAACGTTTAAATCTCTTATTCATCGATGTCAATTTCGATAATATTAGAAGAGATAAGTTACATAAAAATGAATAATGTTTGCAGTCTTTGACTGCGTACTTTACGCTAACTTCCTCACAGAGCCGGACTAGAATCGCGGATGGCCAGTTTACATTCCTACCGGTTAACCACCGGATGCATTTAATTACGGTCACCTAACGCAGCTTCGGCAACTGCTTCAGTACGGAAGCACTAAATCGTGGTTATCTTAAGCTGCAACATCGCGCGCTGGATTCGTATAACTTGCGCTTGCCGGATATCTCGAGGCTGAATTACTAGCTAGAAGAGAAGCGCCGGCGCGGGCGCGTGGAAAGGGCGAGATTAAAATCGCCCGGAGAGCAATGCAAAGTTTTTAATAACCCTTGATGCTTGATTAAGTTACGGCTCTCTTCACTGGCTCGCTGTCTCTCCTTCCCCGCTGTTCGTCTTTGGCTGAAATAAATTTCGCGGAGATTTCGCTTACAGACCGCGTTTTCGTGCGGTACGAGGGAAGAAGCGAGACTCGTTTACTCCGTCAGCTAAATTAATGGAAATCCGGGATGGTTTCTTATCCCTGCGAATATGCAGCAAAATCGGAGAACTTTCGCATCTCTGCTACTACCGGTTACTCTAATTCAAAATTACGTAGACTCTTTTTTTTTATTATTATTAATGTGGATTAATTTGATCAAACGCCAAATATCATTATACTTACAATAAATAACATAATCCCCAACTTTATCGTTTTGTCATCTAATGCGATGACATACGATCTATTTTTTATATGAATAACAAATATAATTAAAAATCGTTGCAATTTGTTTTATTAAAACTGCAATATTGGAAAATGTGAGAAATTATAAAATTAAATTCGGAAGTAAAATAATATTAAATCTGTATCATATGTATACTGCTACAGTTGTTTGCCATTTCAATTTATCATATTAAATATAAAAATGTAACAAAAATTTAACAAGAGTCTATGTATTTTCTTTCAGGCTTTGGATTTGTCACGTTTCAAAGCGAGGATGTCGTCGACAAAGTCTGCGAGATCCATTTCCACGAAATTAACAACAAAATGGTGAGTAGCCAGTCTAAAGTCTACTTGTAGAACAAGCCCCCTCTTCCACAAGGGATATTCTCCCTTTACTTTATATAACCTCAGAGGTCGCGTCAAAAGGTATTTGCCTTCTGTTCGCTGTCTGTAATGTTGAGCAAAATTAATTTTCCGTATAATCGAGAAGGTCTATCTTTGTTAGTTATATTTGACATGCATGTGGAACGTACCTACATGCAGGAGAAATCGTAAACGAAAAAGGGAAGAACTGTACACAGTTCCTCTAGTAAGAGAAGTCTTTGTTTACTTTCCGCTACAACGAAAAGCTCTTTCACGACGGTCAAGTATGTTCTTGATGCCACCTCGTATCGATAATCCTGAAGTAAGCTCGTTGCGCTGATCCAGTCGATATTCTCTTTAACTCCACTCTCTACAGTTAGTTATTTCTTTACCAAATTTTTAGCAAAAATCAATCTTACGTTTAGTACTTTCTAATGATTAACAGAAATAATATAAGCAATAAATGATAATAATAGTGTGTTTTTAATATCTCTTTTAACTTGTTGTCGAGAAAGGATTCATACGTTATCTCCCATACAGCATGGAAGGTTGTATTGTTGCTGCATTGTAATGTTGCTGCAATATTGCTGGAGTGGTTTGTGCTGTATGGGCTGCTACAACGATGCACAATCAAGATTTCGACAGTTCTAATAGATGATTGATAGAGTGAAATGTCCGACCGGTTGTCTTTCTTACTCGTCCCTCTTTCTTTGATCTGCTCTATCTAAAATTTCAAGGTCGAATGCAAGAAGGCACAGCCAAAGGAAGTGATGCTTCCAGCGAATCTGGCGAAGACGCGAGCGGCCAGCAGAGGCGCATACGGTGAGTTGGTGATGGTCGCGACACCCACCCCCACCACCTATCGCTACGCGCCGTATCCC